TACTGACACTGGCTGCGGGCTGGTGTGATTTATTAAAAACTCAAGTGTCTTGTTTTGTGAGGAAAGGTCATGGTTTTTACTCTTTGAACGAAAGCTTTCACATGTCATTGTTTAAAAAATGGATGACGATAGGCTTCGGGTCTTCAAACTGGTAAACGTTCAGCTATTCAGCATCTCGTGAGGATTTCAGAAAAATCAAAAGAGAAAGAGCTATAAATTTTGCAAAAATGTGTGACAAAATATAATTTTGTGATTATGTAAATTTATTACAGTGGTCAAAGAAAGTTTGCATAGAGATTTTTTTTGTCATGTCATGAATAATGCAAAAATTAAGAGGTGTGACTGGTTTGCGAAGACTGTCAATCTCTTCTCACTTCTCTGCACTTCATGTTTATTGTTGTTGCTATCTCCTTGCACACCTCCTTTTCTTTTTTAGTTTCCATAATAGGAAATGTGGCAATTACCAATCCTTGAACAAGAAATTGGATGTTGTTGGAGATGGACTTTTTAATTCTAAATGAAGAAGAGGGATGATTTCCCCAGGCAGTGGTGCTTATCAGCTTTTCATTGCTATACTAAATAGTTAAAATACTAGAAATTCGTTCTGTCTTGGCCTTGAACAGGAGCCTGTTACTTAGCTTGAACAATTTATGGTCTCATTTCCTAAAACCAAGAAAGGTTATTGTTTTTACACGGAATCAGTGGTACCAACAATAATCTGAATAAATTGCCTGCTATCTTTATCTCGGATCGATCATGAAGTTGATTTGATAATGTACTTACTGAAAATCGATCTAATCTTGCACTCGTCTAACTTCTGTTTATTCTTTGTGCCACTCAAGTTTGAAGCAGCAAGTTCATCTTGAGTAAAAAACTCCTCTAAGCATTTCCGAGTATATTTCTTTCTTGTTGTTGACTTCATTCTGATTTCCTTGAGCTTAACTGCTGTTTCGTCTGGTAGGCTGAATACAATTGGTGAGATGCTCGGTAGAGTTCGCGGGCGGTGAGTTGGCATTGGTGGTGTTGGCTGTGTGTTGGTGAGGGTTGATGTTTCGGGTTGGGAATGCTGCAGTAGGGATTCTGTGGCGAATTGCGGGGACGAAACAGAACAGGCTATCGACGGGGACGAAAATTCAGGTTGAGGAAATGGAACAAGAATTCCAGCCTCTATTGCATCTAATCTGGCCTCTATGGATGTCATCAAGTGAAATATTCGGTCTGTCTTATTGTGGAGGCCCTCCACCCAATCCTCAATTGTTTTCAATTCCTAGGAAAAGAGCAAAATAATGTCATTATGTTACATCTCTAGAAAATCGGGCAACTGCAGTTTAGACACTTCACTTAGGAAGGAACTGAAAGCGGAGAAAATTACACTTTTTTTTCCCCTTAAAGTAAATAAGTTTTTATCCAGTTTTTTATTCACTTCGGAAGGAACTTTTTTTTCCTTAAAGTAAATAAGTTTTTATCCAGTAAAATGGTACAATCAGAAATTGATGCTTTCTCCTTGTGATGGAAAGGAAATGATTATTTAAGTAACTATCGTGTGGCGTGAAAGAGTTTTGACTATTTAACTGACAAGCAAGCAAAATATGAAGCAAGAATGTTCCAAAATTTGCTTTTCAGAAGACAGCTAGATACTACCTCAGAAATTTGTCCCATGTCTGGAAGGTCAACGATGCCATCTTCCCAAAAATTAACAACTCCTAGGTCCTCGTGGTCATCATTGTTTATCTGTAACTGGTGCTCAGGCTCTGTTGTTGACGGCTTTGCATGCTTAGGCTCTGGATCTGCGTGGTTGGCGCGTCCTTGCCTTTCGTGCTTGGTTTCTTCTTTCTCAGACACGGCACTCTGGTGATCTTCAGGGGTGCGGCCTTTTCGTTCAACACAAAAATTTCGTGCTTCCTCTTCTTTGTGGTCTGTATTCCGTGGCCGACGCTGGGGTTTGTCACGCCTGCCTCCTTTTTTCCACCATCAACTTCTACCACGACGTTCTTGTTTTCTTTTGGCAGAGACTTTTCACTGCTCTCTTCATTTTGCTGTTTTTTGAGTAAGCTCAGCATCTCTCTGTAGGACTTATCGGCTGTAAAAGTCTTTTTCTGTGGAGTCCACTTTCTTTGGGCTAGCCGGTTTCTTCGAATTTGATTTAAGGAGAGTCACTAACGGACGGTCATCCTCTAAGTCATCTGATGCTTGGTTGGATGTTAATGTTTCCTTGCCTGGAGTAATTTGGGATGCAAATTTAAATTGACATTTTTTCACGCTTTATTTTATGTTCCCTGATCCACACGAAGCCTTTTCAGACTTGTGTATAATACTTAAAACAATTTGTTTCAATTCCTATCGCGAAAAGACAATTTCAAATATGTGGACACCTTTAGAGCACGTTCAAGTTTTCTTAATGCTAATTTTAAAAGTATTTCACAGCAGTAATATTATCCTTACTTGCATTATCCTTCCAAGACTCAGCAGCAACAGCATCATGACGTTTTCGGCCGAACTTCACGTGAATTGCCTGACCAATGTTCAGTGTTCCTGTTGGATCGATGTCTTTTCCCTTTACTTTTTGTTGCTTTCCATGCCATTTGTCTTTCGTCCACCATTCGATAAGAACCATGCTTTTTTCCATTGTTACGGTATGAACTAATACACCACGGGGCAAATCGATAGTTGCAGCTGCGTAACAAAACTGAAATAGTTTGAAGATCCTTGTGACAAAACCTTTCAAGAGATCGCGTGTCAGAAATCCAGGGTTACTTTTCGTGATCAACATAATGGCAAAGTTGTCTTACGGAGTGACATTTCGGATAATTATTTCTAGTCATAGAGGCAAGGCACGCAACAATACTCTGCAAATAAAGATATTGGTCTTTTTCAATGCATGAAGACAGAAACATTATCGAGCTTAAGAAAGTCATCTTAACAGGGATATGCCTGGTTCGTTGAATGTTGGTTAATTGCATAACGCCGTTGAAATAAAAAGGGAAACATAGCTCTCGTGTGCGAAAGTGACCTGACTTGTACAATGCACGCAAGCAGTCATTTCCCCTTCATATCAGTAAACAGGGCACGCTAGCTGAAGTGAGTGGTAAAAATGAGGGGAGAATGGTGAGAGACGTGTCACCGCCTTGCACTGAGTAGTTTTATCTTCCTGGCAGACGTTTTTCCCTTTAAAAGAAAATAGGGAGAAGAAGAGATCGCCCGAAGTGCAGTAACCTTGCAAATCAACTTCACGTAAGAAACACCTAGAGAGCAGTTTCCCAACCTACAAGCTTCTTAACATATGCCTTCCTGAATAGATATTTTGCCACAGAGTATTCTGCTTCAAGTCTTCTCTTTCTTACCTTACAAATTTGTCCGGACGACAGCATCCTTAGTGTGTAAGGCTTAGTGCCAAATTTCTTACGACAAAAGTTTAATCAGGTATGCAGGGGAGGAGGAATTTTCAGAAATTACTGCTAGGGGTTCATCAGAAGAAACAGTGCAAAATTTCCTCCAAGCCGTAAAATGGAGGCCTTGTTTATTCCACAGCATAGATTTGTGTTGCGCAAAAACAACATGGGAAACATTTTGCCACGTTGTCCATAACTGTGCCAAACTGAAAATTTTGGAACATGGCTGGAATCGAGGGTGAAACACACGAACTTCCACTGATTCAAGCATCGAACTTTGTGGAACTGAACTTAAGCAAGACATTGATAGATGACCGTTTTCTGGAGTTCATCACTAAAAGGTTTCCTTTGTTGGGCATACTGAATGTCTCCAGCTGTTACAAATTGACCAATTTCGGAATTGAAAAAGCGTCCTTTCCCTCCCTGCGTTTTCTTGGAATAGCTCATTGTATGATTGGTATCGAGGCAATGCTTTGTGCTATTGACAAACATGGCATATATGCGATGTGTGTGAAAGGAATTACCCTAGGAAGTGCGGATATTGCCCGTCTTGTAGAATTATACCCAGATATCGCCGACATCGGGATTTCCACCTTGTGTGGCTTGCCGCACGGAACTGTGTCTCGTGAAGCACTTCCACAGTTTTGCTTTTACAACCCAAGAGGCTAGTAGTGGTAGTTGGATGGAACTTTAAAAACAGTGTGGCCACATGACAATTGAAATAAATGCGTGCACTCGGAGGATTTTTTCATGGTGCTTACTCTATTTAACAAACTAGACTTGAAAACAATAGCATTTAATTCTAAGTATTCAGAATCATTATTAATAATAGACGTGCCTGTTGAGGTTTCTCTGTTGCAGTGGGTCACACAACAGTTATTTGTTCGTGACCCTTTCAAATTTTCCCCACCATGGCAAGGTACAGCGCATGGTACAATTTTTTTATTGTTAGCTAATAAAGAAGTGGTAAAAGCGTATGTTTAGTTGATTTTCACGGTTCTCCCAAATACATAGAAAGAAGAAACACCTTTAAACTGAGGAAAAATAACTTTATTATATAAAAGACAAAGGTTACAAAAGTGTCTAATCTGTTACGGAGCGGGTGCAACCAAATTTTCTGTCCCAGGGCGACAGAAATTTCTTATTTCCCTGTACAAATAACNCTTCCACAGTTTTGCTTTTACAACCCAAGAGGCTAGTAGTGGTAGTTGGATGGAACTTTAAAAACAGTGTGGCCACATGACAATTGAAATAAATGCGTGCACTCGGAGGATTTTTTCATGGTGCTTACTCTGTTTAACAAACTAGACTTGAAAACAATAGCATTTAATTCTAAGTATTCAGAATCATAGACGTGCTTGTTGAGGTTTCTCTGTTGCAGTGGGTCACACAACAGTTATTTATTCGTGACCCTTTCAAATTTTGCCCACCATGGCAAGGTACAGCGCATAGTACAATTTTTTTATTTTTAGCTAATAAAGAAGTGGTAAAAGCGGCCGTTTAGTTGATTTTCACGGTTCTCCCAAATACATAGAAAGAAGAAACACCTTTAAACTGAGGAAAAATAACTTTATTATATAAAAGACAAAGGTTACAAAAGTGTCTAATCTGTTACGGCGCGGGTGCAACCAAATTTTCTGTCCCAGGGCGACAGAAATTTCTTATTTCCCTGTACAAATAATGTTTTCTTTCCTCATTCAAGCCCACTGGCATGATTACGCGAGGCAGATTGTGTGCAGGAGGTTTCACTGCGGGGTCCTTAAGAATTTGAAATTCGATTTCTGGTGAGTGAACATGTGTTCGACAGAAAACCATGCCCGGGTGCTCTTTAGGAAAGCGAAAATGGTGAAAGTTGCTTATTCCAGGTATTTTCTTAAAATACGGTTCAAAAAATGTCACCCAATCATACACTGGCACTAAAACGGTGCCATCATGGAGTCCACACAGTTTAGCGATGTTGACACCCTTGACTGATGTCGACTTATCTACAACCTCCATGAGGTCAAAAAGAGAAGAAACGAAGCGTCGTCTAAATGACTGCTTCGTCAACCCAAAGCACCAGTCTGGACTAAACTTTGTATGACCCGCAATCAAAAATGAGTACAATATAGAATCGTGCATTCCACAAAGAACTCGCCAACAGTAATACCAGATTACATAGTTATTTTTGTTATGCCCCCACAATTATCAGCATTGATGTGGGCATCTGTTTCCCCAGCCCCATGCGACTCAAAAAAATCGTGTACATAACTTATAGTGGAATTTGCACCCTTTCTAACATCAACTGCTTCGTCGATAAGATAGTTCACTTGTCTGGGAATCCCTTCGTAACACACTCCAAAAAGGCCACATTTTCGAGGAGTTTTAAAATATGATGGGCCTGGTTGCTGAGCATTAGAAGGGATATGGACTTGCTGTGCATAGTTATAAGAATAATGCACAGAGCCCTTTAAAGAACACCTAGTCCTAGGTCTTAAAAGATCTACCCCACTGCCTTTCAATAACTCCTTGCACTTCGCAATGTTTTAGTTTGCAAGTGAGAAATTCACATGGCTCTGAAATGTGCCTAGAACGACCAGATCAAGTTCTGTGGAAGAAAGTTCAATGCAATTCAATCGATGCTGAGTTAGCTCTTCCAAACTAAAAGATTGAATGCACGCGCTTTGATTTTTGCCATATCGACAACCGCATCCAGTCTCTAGTAATGACCGCACTGGGGTGATGAAATCGTCATCATTTGTGGAACTTTGACCGGGAACCGGGGTAACTCTATCGTTCCCTTGAGTCGAAGAACCTGCTAAACTTAGACCTGAAAGTCTCATCGGCCGTGACATCAGGTCCTTCGCTGTCACTGCTATTATTAAGGTCCAGACCAAAATATTCACTTCGAATCATGTCTAATTCGTTGGAAAGACTGTCGTGCGTCTCCAAACCACAGTCGTCGAGAAAATGTCTATCCATATTTGCGCAAATTATCAGAGATTTAAAATTGAAGTGATTAAGAGTAAGTGTGAAGACCAGGTTTTATTGTATTTTGAACCTCAGTTGACAAAAATAGCAACTGAGGGAAAGTCACGCGATTGAGCATGAAAAGATGAACAGTAATAAATAAAAAAAAATGCCCATCCTTGTACACACAAATTTTTTCATGCACAACCAGAAGTAAACCAGCTTCGGTCTTCAGTCACTGTCACGCAATATACAAATAGAGTGAATTGAGTTGAGAAATTGTAAGGTCATAGAAGATAACTCATTGGTCATCTTTCTTTAGTACGGTGAGTAGAACTTCAGTTTTTCGTCATAAAATATTAATTCGTACCGTCAGCAGTGATCACTCATCTTATGTACATCCATGACAAATCAATATGGCGGCCAGAAGATAATGAAAACATCTGGATGAAAACTTCTGGATTTTACTTTGGCTATAAAGACGGCTAATTCTCTTTTGAACAGCTTAACATTAATTTTAAACATTTTTCGCTTAACATTTCTTTGCCAAGACTGAGAAAATTCATATGAATGTGACTTTTTTTTTTTAATACATGACCCGCTGCGTGATTTAAAAAAATACTTGTCTTCGACATACTAAATTGTGGGTGTTTTGCATCGCTTTCATGGCACGCACAGACTACGGAGTGACCAGCTGCGGTTATTCATTTCAACACAGCATTTCAGACAACTAAAGCAGCTGTATTCTTTTATTTCTAAAGTATAACAAGGGCGAATAATTTTTTCAAATGGCCTACGGAAAGCAAACAAAATTCCATTGTTCAGAAGCGGTATTAAAATAGTCATAGAGACATAATTAGCTTAACAACTTAAAATGCTGCATGGCACAAATTATTGTATTCTGTTAATACTGCCAATAATTAGTTATGAAAAAACCTAAGGCCAACTACTACCGATTTCTCATTTTATTTAAACTACCGATTTTTTTCATGCTTGCACGTCATTTTTTTAAGCCGTTTCTTATTACATGTAACAAAAGACTCAATTCTGCATTGCAAAACTTTGGTAGTGATTAAGTTATCGACGGTCTGGTAAGAAAGAAATCAATGTTTTCTAGTAAAGTTGACGGGTATTTTCACGACGTGATTTTAATTTTTTCACGGAGTGACATATTTCACGGTGTGAAGTTTTTCACGGCCCGCAGAAGCTTTACCCAGCGGGAAAAATTATATTCATGCCGTGGTTTATTTCACGATAGAGTGATTTATTTTCATGCCGTGTTCACACCGATTCAGAGGAATTTCCAGAGATTCCAATCATTTTGCTGCAGTTCACGGTTGTTAGCGTGAATTAAGCCTCACCATGAAAACTCATAAGCCCGGTTTTCCCGTGGAGAGTCACATTTTTAAGTTATTAAACCTATCATTTATGCAGACGGACCTTGTCACGGTTTTGAAAGCCAAATTCTTTGGTAAGAATAGATAAAATTGTAAATGCTTGTGCTAAATTATTGTTAGTTCATCATTGGTTTTAATATTTTATAACTTGAATTGAAATTAAATTAAATTGATTCCTGGTCATTTCTTAGGTTAGGAGTTTAGGAAAAGTGACTGTAAATGAAAAGGGACAGTTGCATTTATCCTGTTTTGATAACTCTGGAGCCTAGAATGGCCAACAAATGCGTAGTCACTAGTGGCAAAAATACTTTTGCAAAAACCATTGATGCTGACTGACCTGTGTCAAATCGAGCTGAAAGCAACAAACCAAACAAACAAACTTCACGCTCACTGTATGCATGAGCTTCTCAAGATTTCTGCCAAGATGGTTTTCTTAAATCACATCCTCGTAAAAAGCTGCAAACCCTTAAACAAGAGCAAGAAATAAATAGCCATCCTGATGGTCATGGCTGCCGCTTTTATCTGTTTGAGTGGTAACCAGCAGGTCGACTTTGTGTGGGCTCATTGCGCGATAACTCACACCTTTACCTTATGGTGAGGTGAAAAGAAACTTCCACTCACCCTGAGAAAGTTAAAATACTGCTCCATGAGTCGGACGCATAGGAAAACCTCCGGCTGGAGTTCCATTCCAAGGTATCTTTTCGGGAAACCTAGGTAACCTGCGATGAACAAACAGAAATAGTCAGGTCGTACGTGGGGTCGCGAAGGTTACATACATACCTAACTCCGAGAAGCGTCATCCTCTATTTATACACTTACACAACATCCGTTCATGGGCTTTTAGAAAGGTGGATTGAGCGACAGCTTGGCTTTGTTGTTCAAGGTTCACAGTCCTGGTGAAAAAGTTCGCCACTCCATCGAGAAGAACCCAAAGTCCTGGAGGCACATCTCCCAGACTTAGAGCGTAGGCCGGTCGTTTCCATCTGGTAGGCAGCTCTGGCATCAAGTTCATGTCCTGCCCATGGACACTGGCAACACGATCTGTTACTAGTGCATCCTGCGCGGTGGCAGTTTGTCCTTAGTCCTCGTGGTGCTGGTGCTTGGAGTGATGCCAGTCATCACGGACTGACTGGCATCTTCAGTGCAAGGAGCGCCTTGCTCAGTGGAGGCTGCTTGTCCTTGGAGGGGATACTCTTGTTCCCCTTCATATTCCTCATGCTCAGAAGCAGATCCATAAGACAGGTCAACGAGGAGAGCACATACCATTTTATCGCGAGACTGTTGGGAAAAGATGCAACTAAAAGTTACACTGCTACTTTGGTTGCCTGTAGCCTGGGGTCGCTATGTAGAGTTTGTGATTGGACGTACGAGATGGGTCATTTCGAGGTGGGTGGGTGTTTTTTTTACGGCTGCAGTGTGACTAATAAATGCGCAGGAATAAAAAACAGATTCACCACACAGGCTGGAAAATCAAAGAGCAACGCGAGATCATAAGTCACACAGATGAAAATCAAAACTCCACACACTATAAAGGCTAATATGTCACACAGGTGCGGAGAAAATGCACTGGGAAGAAATCCTCATCACGCAGACGCAAACTTGTGATATATCCTCTACACCGATGGACATTTGGCACACACACTAAAACCGAAAAAAGGCTAATGGCGTAATAAGAGTACAAACCCGATAAAGTGCAAGCAGGGACAAAACCGGGAACGCTAGCAAACATAAAAAGCAAGAAACTTACCTCATGGGATACAGGTACAGCTTTATTTGGAGGAGCAGGATCATTCGCTACATTGTTGTCTTCAGCCGGTACAGCCGCTGCCACAGCGCTGGCTTCTGGGTTTTCCGGAACCTGATCCATAAAGTAGAAAAATGAAGTGAGGAGAAACATGAGGTGCAGCGATGGTGAAGGAGAAAATGACCACCGAGGTGTCTGGTGTCTGTATTAACGAAGAGAGGAATAAACAGTACAAAACAGGCCAATTTATACTGAACTAACAAACATACGCACAACGGGTTCCCCAGAGGAACCAGAGAAGTGCGGGAGTTAAAAAGCACGGGTCCAATGGGCATAGGGGGGCGTTTGTTCATGACAGCCCCAGTGAGAATAGAACCATGTTGCTTTGCAGGATGTTTTCCCTGGTGACGTCTATTTTGTCGGTTTCATCAGGAACATTGTCAGGAACCAGTGGCGATTATTCGTTCTCGCTATCATCATTGCTCCCATCTTCATTAGCATTGTCGACGGAGTCGCCTTCTATATCCATTATCTTTCGTGATTCCTTGCAGCTACTACCAATTAAAGCCACTTTAAATTTTGAGGCAGCACTAGTTAGTTGGCTATGGCATAAAGCGATCCGTTTTTTAGCACAGGCCAATTTTCCACTGATAACTGTGATCTTGCCAGCTTCTGTGTTGTACTGGCCAATCATTGCCTAGGTAAAAAGAGTATAAAAAAACAGCTTGCAAGAAAGGAAAATGGTTTAGTAATAAAAATGTTTATAAAACACTGTAAGAAAAATATACGCTTCCCCCAATTCGTATTTCACCAGAGACGTCTACGTTTTCTTTGCTTGTTTACAATCGAACTGGCTGGAAAGACAACCCCATGCACGTTTCTGTTCAATCAGCTGGCATGGAGGAAGGGGGGATGGAAGTTTAGTCGCGACTTTTTGTAGTGTGCTGGAGGGTATTGTCATTCAATGATTTTGCTTTTTTTTCTAAATGCCACAATTGCTGCAGTACCAAGTTTTTCCAAGTTACTGACAGAACGGAAATTTACACCTTACTAATTCATTGATAATGACAAATGAACTAACGTGCTCTTAGCGTCACATTCAACGAAAAAGCCCGTTACTAGTGGAATTACAGACATGGTATGCCCTCATAATGCGTACATCTGATTCCACAGATGCTTTATTTTATATTTTATTTAGTTTTATTTTTATTATTTTGCCACACAGAATAAATTACAAGTAGAATAGAAAAGATAATAAATAGTTAATTAATATTAAATTTAAAATCAGCATACAACTTGGAAGGAGTGACTGTGGCTCTTTCTCTGAGCCATGAGAACACGTCCATGATCCATTTGTCTG